AGGGCCTGAGGAGGCCAGGTAACCTTTTTATTCTCTATGCATGTTTCTAAAGTTGCATCACTTAGCGTAGAATCCTCTATTTTCCAAATGTTTATAATACATTTGTGGGGTAAAGCTGATCTTTTTTCCCAGCATTACAGGTGCTGACAGATGTGGGGGAAAAAAACCAAAAAAACTGTTTTACCAGAAGCAGCAGCATATTACTTCGACTGAGCTCTGAAGTGTCTGTATAGATCAGATGCTTCAGTGGTGCTTTTTGGCACTTTAGTAGCTGATCCAATCAGCTATTAGATAAAAGTGCCAAAAAAGCCCACTAAAGCGCCTGATCTATACAGACATTGGGAAAGCCGGGTGCAGCTAATACGATGCCTCTTCCGGGCATGTGCTAGGCTCGGTGCGGGGATGTACCAAGTTCAAAGTAAAGCACCATTTTTTTTTGGGGGGGGGGGGAGGAGTTTCCACTTCTGCAAGCAGCCTACTATATTAATTTGGTTCCTAAAATATTATGCCTACATTAATATTCAGCTAGCTTTTACAAATGGTTGGGTTAGTTTATTTGGCTATACATATCCTAACCTTTAATTTTATATATGTGAGAAACTGGAGTTGCAAATTTATCTTGAGGAAGGCTGTGCCTTTACATATCCTGCCTTGCTGGAAATCCTACCATACATCAGGAAATGTGTCCAGTACACAATGATGATAGAGGGGCTAAAGAGGTTTGGTTCATTCGTGTAGCCTTTTTTTACTTAGGCAAAATTCACTTCCCATTTTCACTGTGGGTTAGTGGAGTCTGTAGTATCAAGTTCTTTATAACTAGGTTTGAAAGTCTTGATCAGGCAGATTGCTGTTAGACCAGTTGTGCTTCATGTCTCAAAGTTGGCTTGTATGTAAATGGAGAGTAGATTCACTACTGAAGCTTATTGTGCTGTTTTCCAAAGCCAAAGCAATGCTGCACTGCTCTATGAATTGTTATAATACTCAGGTCTTTGTCTCTCTGTTTATCGCTAGGAGATCAGCCATGATACCAGGCGTTTCCGGTTTCGACTTCCATCGCCATATCACGTATTGGGGTTACCTATAGGTAAATACTGAAACACTTTATTTTTATTTGTAAATTTGGGATTTTAACAGAGCTCTTAAAAAAGGAGCAAGGAGTGAATTTGCTTTTCAGGAAAACAAGGGATTGAACATTTCATCCTGCCATATTATGACAACAGGCCTTCTAACCGGCTCTGATCTATTGTACCCTTATATGTATTTCACTCATGCTACCTTGTGTAATATAGGTTGGAGTCAGACTACTGACTTGATGCTGCTGAAATAACAAAGTGAGGGTGACTATTTGACACAGATAAATGCTATTTGACAGGCTTTCAGCTATTTTTTATTTTCCTAACAAGAGGTCCTATAATTATTCAAATATAAGAAATGATTCCCCCCCACCCCCAATCAGCATGGGGGTAGAGATGGACCAAGCAGCCCTGCATTCCGTCTGCATGTAAATTTTTGGAGGGTTTCAGGACTTGTGTCAAGAACACCTACTTCCAGTCACAAGTGGGGGTGGGGAGGTGCTTATTAGCAGATGAATCCTTTGTTGGGGGGGATCTGGAGTACACACACAAACACTGAGCAGTGCTGGGCTGTGGCGTTATCATATCTTGAAATACTATTGACTCTGCTGGGGCCCAGCCAAGTGAAGTATATCAGTAGTTCTCAACCTTTTACACCTTACATCCCACCAACCATTGGTCCCAAAAACCTGGGTCCCACTATGATAAACGATGAGCGGGAGGGTGCTGTGAGCTGCCCCCTGCCCTGGTGATGCACCCCCTGTGCCTGTTGCTGCTTTGAAGGCAGCAGCCCTGCACCGCTGCCCTTGCTGTAGCCCCGGATGCAGGAGGCATTTCACCAGAGCAGTGCAGGGTAAGCAGCGGTGAGAGATCCCCATGCGGCTCCTCCGCTCCCTGCAGCGCCTGAGAGAACAGCACCGCAGGGAACTCCCTGTAGGGAACAGCTGTTGTCCAGCTTCCCTCCCCTGCAACTTGGTGCTGCAGGGAACGGAGGAGCCGCATGGGGATCTTCTTGCCACAGCCCGCTCCACAGTGCCACAGTGAAGCGCCTCCTGTGCCCAGGGCTGCAGGGCTCCAAAGCAGGGCTGTGCCCCTCAAAGAACCAGCCCAGCCATGCCAGACTGTGCCTGCCAGGCTGCAGAGGCACCCGGGAGAGTGGCAGGGAATGGTGGCTGCTCGCCGCTCCTTGCTCTGCCCTGCTTCCCTGCCCTGGGTGCCCCTGCCGCCCAGCAGGTGCAGCTGGGAAGAGCGAGACCACACGGAGAGGCTGCGAGCTCCACACTGCAAGCAGCAGCACACACAGGGGGCGCATCACCAAGGCAGCGGTGGGCAACCACCTTCTCCGCATAGCCCTGCTCTTCCCAGCCGCACTGGATCGCGCCTTTTGGCTCTGGATTAATATAATGTATAGTTCGTATTACAAAAGTGTTGCTCAACAGGGTGTTTATGGAGCAGCTGGCTAAAATTTGCAGCAGTTTGCAACATGTTAAAATGTATCAATTCTGGATGAGTTAAGTCTGTAAGTACCCATAGTAAATTGCATATAAGCAAGTTACCAAATGCAGAGGACCAGTGGAAATTACTGTGTGTACGTTTATTTTAAAGTCAGTGTTTTTGGTTGCTTGTATTTCAAATTGGGAAGTGGGGGCAGGCAACTGCTGTGGTTCCGAGTTGGGGCCAGAGTTGGACCGACAGCAGTCACCTGTCCCCTTCTGCTTGTCCTCTGCAGCTTCTGACCTCCCCTCTGTCCCTTTACCCCTCTTACTGTCACGTCTTCAGGGAAGGAACAGAGCCTGAGCAGGGTCTGACAGTAAGTGGGGGCAGGAAGGCTACAGAGGGGAGAAGTGGGGTGGGGAAGCAGAGGGCATGGAGGCCAACTGACTCCTCCCCCCCAGCAACTATTTTCCCTGCTGCAGCAGTGAGAGGGGAGTATATTCAAACCATCTTCCTGATAATTAGATTCTTCACCTGGAAAATGATCGTAAATATATACATTTTCCATATATAGAATCTTAGTATTGGAGGGCTCATCTTATATTCAGGGTCGTCTTATATTCAAATAAATATGGTAGTTGCTTTTGAATTTTACAGCAGTGGTTCTCAACCTTTTTTGTACCAGGATCCGTTTGTAAACATAGATGGCCGGTCCTGACCCAATGCCCCACACTCCTGACCTGCTGCTCCCTGCCCCCATACCTCAGCCCCCCCAGTGTGTGGGGCGGGATGTAGGGTATGGGGGGGGCACCAAGCAACGCCTTGCAGGCTGGAACTCTGACTCTGTAAGGGGAAAGCCACAGTTTCCCACATTTTTCTCTTTAAAGAAGAATTCATTTTTAAAGTTTGTTCACAACCCTTTCATGTATTGCAACCCATTTTTGGCTTGTGACCCACAGGTTGAGAAGCACTGTTCTAGAGGATTCTGTACTGTAGTCAAAGATCTGATTGCAGCTAGTGTAGATGTGTCTAAGCTAGCTATCAACTTGCTACCATGGGTTCTGATCACGTGTAGCTGCTTGAGTGCGGGCAGCAAAACCTGTAAATACATAGGCAGCTGTGTTGCCATGATTCTGTTGCTTAAAGCACCCAAGCTGACTTCATGACTGCTAGATCAGGTTTCCCTGCACCAGCTAGTGTCACACCTTTGACTCCATAGTAGACTTGGTTAGATGAGAAAGAGGTTGCAGGCTTTCACCCTTATAGCCTGTGAACAATGGATTTGGGGAGACAGGAAGAATACTACACTTTAGAGAGATGTTATTGTTGTTCTTCAGGCATTCAGCAGATATCTGCCAACTCTTTTTTTTTTCCTCTCTATCATAAAGCTTTCAGAAAATTAGGGTCTGCCAACAGTATTTTGCTGATGCCACTGAACTGTGAACCTTGAATTGAGGATAGCCTGCTCAGGGGCCAACGCCCCTCTTGTCCTGAACAGCACTCTTTCCAATCTGGCTCTTCTCCAAATTGCTTAGTCCTGGCTGTTTCAAGCTGCACATGGCACGAGCTCTCTTGTTCTGCAAGTTACCTGTATCCGTTTTTTCCCAGGCTGAGCTTGTTGGTTTCAGGAGCATTGCCAATCAATGGCAGACGGCAGGGCAGGCTGGCACCTTAGAGACTAACTTGTTCAGAGAGGCAGTAGCTTTTGTAGGTGACAGTCTACTTTGTCAGATGCTATGAAACAATTAAATCAATGGCAACAGCTGTCCTCCACTTTTATACAGATCCTCTTGTCTTCCAGTGGATAGTATGAAAAATATTTGTCCATGAAGGAAAACAAAGGTGAAATGACTACATGAAGCAGCCCCCACTGCCTTTCTATACCCCAGCTCTACTCTTGTTTGATCTTTTCTCCTTCACTGTTTCTTACTCCTGAAACACTTTCACCGAGTATTGAAATTGACTTCTTTAATAGGTCACATGGTTGCTGCTTTGTGTGACTCTACTTTTTGAAAGTGTCACTTGAATACGGGTTTCTCTAGCAGTACTGCTTTTATGTGCCCAGAAGCCCTGATTCTGTAGTCCAGCTGCAGAATACTTACATTGCCACTATGGGTTCCTAAAACTGAGGTTTTCTGCCTTGGTTTGTGAGACTAGTAAAATACCTGTTTTCTCTTTTAAGGCATGTGAAAGCTTCAGTAAAACCCTACATAGGCAAAGATGATGTGAATAATCAACCAGTTCTTTTGTTAATATTTAACTTGCGACTTCCTGCTTCCCAAATGTCCAGTTGCAGTATCCCCTTGAGATGCTTTAATATTAGTCTGTGACATAATAGTTTGTTTCTCACATGTATATACCTAACACTAGGCTACAAGAATCATTTGTCATCACTGACATACAGGAAAAGGAAGAGATGCTGGAAACCCACCAGACATCAGGCTAGAGCAGCAATAAGCTTAATCACATATACTTCTATTTTGCTGATAGATACCTAATATGTTTGTAAAAAACATGCGTTTGGAAAGGGTCTCACTTCATATATAACCCAGTATGTCTTTCAAAAGCAGGATGCATGTGAGCAGTCTGCAGAACAGAGACTGCAGAAGCTAGTACAGCCACTGTACCACAGGAATTGTGGTATATCTGAGAAACAGGAATTGTGGTGATGTTGCTCTAGGAAGAGTTGGTTGGTAAAATTTTAGTCCCTCTGCATACTGGCTGCCTAGCTGCAGCAGAACAAAAGTATTGTCTCGTAAAAATTGTAGCTATTATCTATATTTTTTCTTCAGTAGAGATCTGGAATTATGTGAATGTAATTATTTTTTTGTCCATGGTATTGTGTGTTGGTATTATATTTATTAGCATGATGTGAGGAAAAGCCATGCTCCTCATAATACACAAAAGATTATAATACTCTAACGTGGTTTAGTGGACAGAGTTCAGGTAATGTCTAATATGCAAAAGTAGTAAGGTTTATTTTTTAGTTTCACAATTTATTTCATAATTGCAGACAAATTCATAGCATTGTAGTTACCATGTATATTCTGTATGTGGATAGCATTCCATTTTTATGTCATAATACAGGATTATCTATCTAAAGAACAGACATTTTTACAGCAACATGTACTGGATTAAAAGTTGCAGAAATGTAATGAAGAATGTTTCTGTTAGATGACTCGATTATGGGATAAATTAATAATACTATCAGGCTATTTTTTAACGTTGTGTTTTGCGTCAGAACACGTTATATTGGGCTAAGTTCACACATTTTATTTTCCCAACCTTTCCCTCCTTTTTTTATTTTTCTCTCAAGCCTGGAAAGTACAAACCCTTAAAGCTGAAAATGAGATGACAGTACTGTAACTTTCTTTCTTTCTAGGCCAACATGTTTATCTTTCTGCCAAAATCAATGGTAGTTTGGTGATCCGGGCCTATACACCAGTTTCCAGTGATGAAATAAAAGGTTATGTTGATTTAATTATAAAGGTAAATTTTAGTTTCTGTTCAAGCCATTTAACTGGTTGTCTCAAATACAGCTCCCTTGGCAAGCAGGTAAGTAGCACCTGTGTAAATGGCATTTATGTCTACTTACATGAGTTTTAGTTCCTACTCCCCACTGTGCAGCACAGCTTGTCCTCCTAAGCATGCATTTGGCCTCTGGCCACATTTATTCTTTGTTTCTTTGGCTCAATGTTGCTTCTGTATTTTGCATGGAATAGTCCCTGGATAAAATGCTTAAAGAGAAGGAGGAGCAGAGGCCAACACCCAGGGCCCTTTCATTTCCAGGACAGAAACTGTTTTACTGAGTCCCCAAGCCACATTCCCTTTAGCTTCTTCTTTTCATGTCCCATTCATTTTCCTCCTTTGATTGCCCTCCAGGCCAGCTTCTACAGGAGAGGTGGGAATACATTTGCTGAGTAATAGGCATTGTTGGCTGTGGGGGACAGAGGAGGCTATAACTTAGATATTTAATTGCTTGGATAAATGCCGTAACCACTAAACGATGGGGCTCAACGATGGGCAAGTCCTCCTCCTCCTCCTCTCAGTCCTGTTTTTTCTGTGATTAACTTTTGGGGATTTCACAGGATTATATGTCTTCCTAGATGGACTAGGACAGTGTTTCTCAACCTTTTTAGACTTAAGGCACCCCTCATTAAACTCAAGGCATCCCTTGGAAAATACCACATTTTTTCACTCATTTTTTTGACTACAGAAAAATGATAGGGCAATTTTTCTGTTGCAAAGAACTCAGAAAGGCCACAACAAATGAGAAGGTATTTAATATATGGAGTCCTGTTTAACAACTCTGGGTTCATCTTGTGAATCAAGTGTGCACATCTAACAGTTCTAACACTGTGGCACTCCACAGCACCCGTGAAAGAATCTTAAGGGACCCCAGGGTGCAGCAGCACCCTGATTGAGAAAAATTGGAATTGGATCACAGCAGAGAGTAAGTGACTGGAGTTGATTCCTTTGGAGCATGCTTAGAAGGACAAGTTAAGTTGCAGGGTGGGGAGGATATGAAAACTGTGGGTGGCCACAATTCTGCATAAGTGCTACTTAACTGCCTGAAGAGGGAGATGGATTTGGGCCAGTTTGTTTACTGTACAAGCCAGTGTTTGCCTGGGAAGAAAAAGTCTGTGAAAATTTAAACTGATAATGTCAAACAGCATAGTTATTAGTACGGAGTACCTTCCAGGGCTGCTGAATACGCTTTAAACCAACCAACCCCACCTGGAGGAAGTTTGCCATAGAATCACCCTAGTTTGAAGGTTAAATATTGTACTGTGCAATCCATGCCTACATTTTCTTCAGTGGGGCTGCATGCATGGGTGGTGGTGAAATACCAGCATTAGCATTTTGCTTGTAGAACTGCAGTGGCTTCTGGTTACAGTGGACAAACATATTTGAAAGCAAGGGATTTTCTGGATCCTATTTCAGATGCTTAGTGTAACTGCAGGCAAGCAAAAGGCTGTTTAAAAAAAAAAAATACCACTGCTACCTGGGACCTAACTGGTCATGAAACAAATAGCCACTCGTTTTTTTTTTCAAGTCTACTACAAGAATGTGAATCCCAAGTTCCCTGAAGGTGGAAAGATGTCCCAATACTTAAACAGCATGAACATTGGAGATACTATTGACTTCAGAAGGCCAAATGGATTTCTTGTGTATAAGGGGCCAGGTACATTGATGTTTAAATGGAAGGTGGGAATGTAGTTATTTTCAAGGGCAGTTTAAAGCTTGAGGGCTTAAGTTTAGGACATGGCTTTTTAAAAAAAATTAAATGGCAGGAAGAAACCCAGGTTTCTCTCACCAAGAAAGAATTCCTGTGTTTTTTGACTGAAGCCTGCCCTAGTTGGCCATAGCAGAGGGGCAAGAGTGGTGCAGTCTTTGCTTGTTCACCCTGCCTTCATGTCAGGTGTTGGTAATTCACTTCTTTATACGTTACTGCTCTGATCATTGTACCAGATGGTCCTGGCCTGTTTCAGACTGGAAGCCTTCTTATGCAGTGCCCTTTTGGGAAACTCATTACTGCAGTTAAATAAACTCCCTGGCTGGGAACCAGTTGCGCCTTAGTTTTAAAACAGGCTTGACTTGGTTAAGGCTCTTGCATGTGGCTTATTCTGGGTGGGCGGAAACAACCTGCTGATACAAACAACTCTCACTTGAGGTGGCTGCAAAGGAGAAAGGCAATTTGCTTCATGCACCTCAGATTTATACAAGTAGCGCTGATGCTTTGTACTTTTCAGGATCAGGCCCTTATTATGAATAATATACAGATGAGTCCATTATCTTTTAGAGGAACTCAGTGACCCATGTAACACCCAGATCCACACACTTTTCTATTGTGTTTCAGTTGCAATAGACAACGGCAGTACTACAGACAACAGCATGGGAAGCTAATTATTTGTTACAAATCTGTTAAATGATTTATCAGAGTGTGCATGTGAAAAATGCTTTGTGTGGAACTATCTGGTTGGCTTAGTTTGTGGAGACTAATTGCTTTGCAAATGGCATCTAATTTTCAAATTTGAGTAAAGCAGTGGCATCCTCTGGTGTACAACAGAAGTTAGCTGGTTGTTTTCATGCCTGGATGTTAGAGGTCAGAGTTTCCTGGCTATGACTGCCAAGGGCTTAATTGGATTCTTGTAGCGAGAGCTGAAAGAATTACAAATACAGTAATAAAAAGGGTCTTACCTAAGTGTGCACGGCACTAGTACATTTGACTGCTTTATTGCAGATCTGTTGAATAGCGCTACTAAAAGGTGAGATCCTCAGCTGTGCTTTCATAGAGTAAAGGTGATTTACCAACCTCTTGAGAATTCCCCTGGCAGAGACAGTGCCACCCACCACCCTCAGGTCCTTCAGTGTGGGGCCATAGTACTTCATCAATTCACAGCTGCCAGATAGTGTTTCAGGGTCATATGTAGCTGACTACAATTTGGTTAGTCCTGATCCTGCTCGGAATTATCCAGGAGGGTGAACAAGTCCATAGAGGCTACCAAGGTACAATAAAGCAACTTCTGCCATTTCCATCTGTTTTCTGTTCTGAGCACTGCTTGGCTGGACCAGAAGACCTGACACAGTGAATTAAGCTGTAGGCAGCAATAATTGTCCTTGCATAGCAACTGCATAGCAACTCATCAATTCATTTACTTACAAATGTTGCATGTTTCTTCCAGGTAAATTTGCTATCAAGCCTGACAAGAAGTCTGAAGCACAGATAAAGTTTGCAAAGCATCTTGGGATGATAGCTGGGGGAACAGGTGAAACTATTGGTTGCTTGTACATGTGACAAAGATTGCCCATTTCTGCAGTTTGTGTGTGTCATGCTGTACATGTGCAGGTTTTTTTTTTTTACAATTTAAATGAGTTTGCAACATTGCAGACTAAACCAAGTCTGCATGTAGTTTAGTTTGCAGGGTAGGTATTTGTAACATAGTGGCTTTTTGACAGCTTGCCCCTCCTGCCACAGGAGAAGTGGGCTGAAGGCAGAAGTGGGGAGGAGCCCGATCTTTTTTTCCCCCCAGAGTCTGCCTGTGTTTCCTATGGCCAGGGGGCAAGCTGCTGTCAGGCCAAGCAGCTCCTGAGATGTGGTGGGCCCTGGTCCTTCCCTCCGTGGCTGTTTGGGCGGGCTGCTAGCAGGCCAGACGCTGCCCCAGCTCAGGCTCAGGGAAGAGTTGGTTTGGGCTGGGTGTTGCTTCTGAGCTTGGGGCAGCACCAGGGGCAATACCACCCCAGAGGGAAGGACCTCCTGGGGCTCAGGGGCCGCTTGGCCTGCCAGTAGCTTGCCCCCTGGCCACGGGAGACATGGGCAGGTTCCACAGAAGGGAAAAAAATGGATCAGGGCCCTCACTGTAATAGTGACAGAAGCCCCTAAATTGAAACGGTGGTTCTTTAATTATCGCAATTAAAAACCAACCATTTCAGTTTAGGGGACCAAACCCCAGTCATGTGTACAAATACCCCATGTCATTGTGCTGAGGATGGGCACTTTGCTAAAGAGCTTACAGGTTGTCAGAGGATTGTAATGAATGTTACGCACACATTTTATGACCATGGAATTATTGTTTTTATTACCAATTTAAGCTACTGCCTAACAGTGCTTGCACTGATACAGGGATTTACTATTTCAGTGGTTATTTGCTTGAAGTGAACATATTACACCTTGAATATCCAATGGTTTCTGTTCTTCAGTGCTGAAGATCTTTAGGGCCCAGATAATCTTTACCACTATTCGTCAGTAGCTAATTGGTCCTGATTCTGCAATCAGGACCTATCATCCTGACACAGTATTAATTGCTATCTACCACAGCAAGACAAAAATAGGGTCTTCACTGTGGCTTGGGAGCCAGTAATTTACACACATTCTAATTTTAGCTCTTAAACTGATTGAGTACATGACCTTGGGCAAATCACTTAAACCTTTACCCTATGTGCAATATTTCCTTCTCTTTTTATGAGAGTGCTGTGAGGGTTAAATGATTTAATGTTGAAAATGGACATCCCTGGGTGTGAAATATTACTTTGTCACTTTTGGAGTGAAATTATGGAACTTCAGAGCTGATCTGGGTCATAAACTGAGATGTGGGGTCTTGATCCTGGGCCTCATGCAGACAAAACTCTCAGTGAAGTTGCCTGGTTCTGCACTGCAGTCTGTGGATGGGCTTAAAGGAAAAGCTCATTTGTGACTCTTATTATGAATAGGAATTACACCGATGTTGCAGCTAATTCGTCACATCACAAAGGACCCCAAGGATGACACAAAATGTTACCTACTTTTTGCTAATTAGGTAAATATACTGTAGCTTTTGTTTGCCAAATTCTGTGCTCCCTGCTCCTCCTGCAGGACTTTGAACTGCTCAAACTGTTATGGTATTTAACCCAGAAAATTCCTTTTCTACATAGATTCAGTGAATGCTCTTCAGGATAGTCTCTCTTCACTTCTGTATATATTTACCACATGTCTATGGCAAGACAAGCATCTGATGAATATTTTGATACGTTTTGTTTAAAAGTGGTTTGTAGAGGGAATTACAAGAGAGATCATGATTAATTGCATTAGTTCTCTTAGATTCAAGTTGGGTTCCTCTTACTCTTACATAAAATATTATCCTGAACCTTATTGTGAAAAACTATCAGAAATTTCTCACTCCTGAAAGGAAGGTTTTATGTGAAATTCTTACCTCAAACTGGTATGCCTGCTCACTTCCACTTCATAATTTGCAAAAACACCAGCGCTAAGAGACCAAGACAGGGCCAAAAGGGCTAACAGTAATTCTGAACACAAGACTGAATTTTTGGTATGTCTTTTTAAATCAACACTTTAACACTCCTTTAAAGGCATCATGTAGCTTGGTGTTAAGCCTATTAATTTCACTCTTAAATCAGAATTTATAGCAAAGAAATGTTATAAACTACCATATATTTAAGAGGAAAAAAACCTGCTTGTTTAGTCTGGCTACTTTAATGCTTATAAATGAGGAAGACTGAAAGGTAGAGGAGGTGAGAACTGTGTAACTTTGAACTACCTGTGATCCATTACTGCTGAAAACAAAGTTAGCTCTGTTAGTCTGTATTACTCAGTGCACTGAGATAGTCTGGAGGAAAATAATTCTCTCTCTCTCTCTCCATTTTCTAGACAGAAAAAGACATACTATTAAGAACAGAGCTAGAGGAGGTTGCTAAGAAGCACCCCACTCAATTTAAACTGTGGTACACACTGGACAGGCCTCCTCAAGGTAGGTTGCTGATACATGAAAAAAGTTATTTTTGTCCTCCTCTCTGTATACAAGGCCTTCTTGTATACATCATTTGTACTGTACCCATTCTTTTGCTATCAGAGCCCTTCTAAAATATATTACTATCTTGAAACTCATCTTAAAATGAGAAGTTGTTCTGTAAACCTTTGCTGCAAAGTTAATTCCTTGGACTTCCCAGCAAAATCTATAGTTCTGCTGCTTTGTGTTTTCTCCTTCTTTCCTCATTTCTTCAGCAGAATCATATTACGTTGGCAGGTACTAAGCAGTTCAATTAGACAAGCTGTCATGGGCACAACAGGCAAGTGGTGCTTCCAGTAGTTAGGTCCTGGTAGGCTGCAGTTGCAAGCACCAGAGATGAGAATGTGAATTGTTAGATTTACCTCCCTCTTAAAACACTGGGAGCCAAGTGCACTGCTTGGATTTATTCAGAGTGGTGTGGTCCTATCCTTGTGTGCAAGTACCTGCTTGCAGTGGTGGTAGTGCATACAGCCCACAAACAGCAACATGTGAAGGGTAGCATTGCTGAAGATGCAGATGGGACTCTTGGTATGAATTTATATCCAAATCTTTGTAAGATACTAATAGCATCCCTTGTTGCTTTTGTCTTTCAGATTGGAAATACAGCTCTGGTTTCATCACTGCGGACATGATTAAAGCACATCTTCCTCCACCTGGCAATGATTCCATCATTCTGATGTGTGGGCCACCTCCTATGATTCAGTTTGCTTGTCAGCCCAGTCTGGACAAACTGGGTTATTCCAAAAATAACATGTTTGCTTATTAACATGAAAAGGCATTGAACAACATCAGTAAGCATACTATATTCCTGGCACATGCTGTGATAATCCTCTATACTGCAGCTCTTTTAGAGCAATGTAGTGCTCTGATGTAGACTCTACTCCTTTTTAAGTTGAATGTCAAGAATTTTATTGCCTAGTTACTTAAATCTGTTGTGTTTGTACATAAATTTCAATATTATAACACACACCCTATTGAGTAATATTCTTTAACCTCCCTACATTAAGCAATAAGATATGGAGTTACATATTTTATAAGATTAAAGTATGAAGATGGTATTACCATACAAAGTTAAAGGCCAGGAGACTCTTGGCACTGGCATTCAATCATCGTTGACATGTTCTGCCTTCGCTGCTGTACTGAGAAAATTTTGTATCTGAGGAAGGGAGAAGTTCTGTTCATTTGCTTAATTTGTTAGGATCAACATTCAGGAGCCTGCGGTTGTGCCCTGAAGTCTGAAGCTATTTCCCAACTTTTTAGGAGTATATGGCAAGACCCTACAAGTAATTTGCTAATTAACATGAATATGTTTTTCTTGCATCACCTTCGCCCCTGTGAAACAAGGGATAAGGGTCTTGGTAAGCCTAAAAAAGAGTGGGAAGAAATGGCAGTGGCTCAGGGGTGTGGAATAAAATTCTCAAAGCTTCTCAAAATTGCTTTATTATTGTAATAAGAATTCTCATTTCAGAATACAGTTTAATTTGAGAGGTTAATATTTAGCCTTACACTGAACCACACTGCACTGAACATTATTCTAGGTTATGTTTTCTTATTACCTGAACTACCGTTGAAGAAAGAGGGTTTCAGTAGCTGTCCTTGCCAAATTTATAACTGATATTTACACTGCAGTTCATTGTAATGTATCTAGTGACATTAGATTAGGGCCTTGTTACACAGTAATTTTGGGCAGCTCCTGGAGCTCTTAACTTCTGGGTTGTCCACACATTAATACCTGAAACTAGTTTTAAGTGCTTATTATGTGGCTCAAAGTTATGCCATTCCAGGGTAGGATTCTCTCTGATCAGCTCATAAACCATAGGCTCCACTTTAGTGTAAATACCCCTTCCACTGGCCCAGATCAGTCCCACTGCTGCCACCCCCCCCCAAGAACCCCA